ATTTGCACTAGACCTGGTCAGGATTCTGGCTGCTGAATTTTGGACATACTGCAGTTTGACCACATGATAAGTGCAGTGGTCATAAGAAGACATATCTTTGCATCTATTTTTCTAGAAAACATAAAAGGGTTGAGGTTTTGCAGATTTTAAAATATTTTGGAATCATTTTGATAAGTTTATTATTTGTGACTGAAAAACAAGAAACTTTAACTGTTTTAACTAAATAAGTGAACTGTCTATAATATGAATAAATTCTCTTGAGAGAATCTCAATAACATAGCTGGAAAGGACAATCTTTTAAATTTATCTCTCTTAGTCTCGGTCCTCGGTTATTCAGATTAAGTACCGAATCAGCTCATTAGTGAGACAGCTGAGGTGATTTTTCAAAGAAAACCATGAAAAAAGACCCAATATACCATCGTATCAGGAGAATAATTCTGTGTGTCATTGGTAATTTTGGAGGCTGGGGTAAATCTCTGAGCTGTTGCTTGCTGTCTAAGGTGTCATACTTGGCAGTTTCTAACCTGGCAAGATCTTGCAGTCAAACAATCTATCCAAGACACACAGCACCTTGCCAAAATCTATGACTAGGTCTAAGTGCGATGGTCTAATAAGTAGTGTTTAATGGCTACAGACCTCTTTGATGTGACCACAGTCCAGTTGTACAATGCATATCTTCAGGCTGCTCATTTAACAACAGCTTTTTTTTGAAAGATGAGAATGTGATAGTTATGCTTGGATGTGCTACTTGCCAGACTTGAGCACCATGAATATCTTTGGGGTCTATTTGGAATAATGTGTGACACTTTGAGCACAAAAACCAGTTAACAGACACGATTTTGCAGCCTGGTGACAAATGCATATAGCAAATGCAGAATACAGTTAGTATTGCTTCCTTTGACCCATGCACATGATACACATGACTATGACTTTCACAGCCAACACCCTGTTCATCAGTCCTGTTGGTTACAAATGTTATTTAGAAAAAATAATTTACATATGTCATGTGTGTTCAAAAAAAATGTCAATGCGCCAGTTAAAAAAAGGATTTCTTGATACCTTTGTGGGCTTATTGTTTCTATTGGAGCTCAGTATTTTAAAAGCCATACAGTTAATTTGACTTTTCTCGCCTTCCTGTAATTTAACAGATGCACATTTCTGTTTCTGGGGGCTTGTGTCATTGCTGTCAACTTACAGACGGTTTTATGTTATTAAGAGCTCAAGACTTTCAGAGTGTTACTGTAAATTGTTTCAGAAAATCTTATAATTACCTACCTAAGACACAGGTGAAATAAAATGTTGAAGACATTGTATTGCTACCAGGACTGGCTTTGCCCTATAACTACGTGAAGAATCTCACAGGTATTTTCCCTTTTCTCTTCTGTGTTAACCATTGACAGAGCCTCCTCCTGAGGACCATCTTCTACAAAACACACTGTGGCCTGAAGTACAAAAACTGTAAGTATGTGTGAACCACTTCAATTACTTTACTTTCCCAGTGTGATCTCTTTGGATAAAAAACATTTATTATTGATCAAGTGTGTATCAATAATAGGTCAGCATGAGACTTGCACAAGTCAGTTTCACTCTGAAAAGTAAACAGAGTGTGGGAGAAGGAGAGAGACAGACCAGAATACAATGTTGTAGTTAAGAAGGACAAGAAAAGAATTTGAAAATGAGATTGCTGGACAACCATGATGCCCCCTGGGTGGACATGAAATGGCCAGAGAACTATGTATACATGTGCTGCTGGATATGTGTTTGTAAGTGTTACAGTGGCTTATGTTTCAACAAATAATTGAACCTGGGAACTGTGTGGGTGGCAACTTTAGATCAGCTAGTTGTAGTTAGGAGATGATTAGTGAAGAAAAGGTTCCACCTGTAGAATAATCCTGTGATATGGCAAGTCTTTTTGATGACCTTGGGGATAGAGGGTGTTAGGGTGGACAGGTAGGAGAAGTGGAGAGACGTTCTGGGTTTGGGAATTATTATGGGCCAGTGATCCATGTGCTGTCTTGGCTCAGGTGAAAGTCCTGTCAATGCATTGTGACACCCATCTCAATAAAAGAAATCCACATTTTAAAATCCAAATTTGGATTTGGATTTTAATGAGTCTCGTCTCTAAACTACCCCAAGTCTAGGGAACTGTGAGGAAGGAAGAATTTGTACTGTGATTGGGATAGAAGAACCTGTAAAGGAGAGAAAACTGATTCACAATGATTCACTTTTGTAATACACAGATACTACGCAAGTATTCAGTCTCATACAGTTAACAAAAAAACTTCTGTTCAGTTAAGGAAGAGTTGTGGTCATAGTATTTTCATATCAGGAAAATGTATTAAGCATAACCCAACTCTGTAATTTCAAAAGTACACTAGAAACTGAAATTGTTTAGGGGTTCTACAGATGGGGTTAGCCCTCCATTATATTTTTTTCTCTCCAAGGTCGATTTATTTTTTCATCAATTCTTTTAAAATGTACTGATTTATTGTCACTGTAAGGATACATTGTGGTGAAATCTAGTACAAGTGGTACATTTCTGCCTACCTTTTTAGTTAGCGCAAGTAATGGCTATAATACAGCTGATCTGTAATATGATTCACTCATGATGATGTATAATTTTATTCCAGTTAGAGTGAATTTTCTTGGCTGAATTTTAAAGTTTGGACTGGTTGTGTTCTCCTATGCAGGCATAAAGGATCCATACTGATTTAATCTTCCAGATCAATATGTTTATTTTCAGTATATTTAGTTATTGTAGAGCAAGATTACCTTAGAAGTGTAGACTGCGATGTGTAATTAATCTTTTTTATAAAATTAATGCAAAGGACTTCAGTGTGATAGATTTCACAGTTGCACATGGTGACAAATAGTTTGTGGCACCAACAGATACAACAAATATGCCACTTCATTTTTTTAGGATTTAAGATGACATTTCACAGATCAGCACTTTTGTACATTTATTCTGCATCACAGTGACATATGAGAATTCTCGACAGCATTTCATGACCCATCAGACAAGAACACATGATGTTTCAGTACAAACAGAGACCTGGATTTGACAATCTGACAAGAAATCGGTTAACACTGTTGTAGCCTTTGGCTACTGAATTCTGCCTTCAAAGCTTACTTTTGGATTCACAAGTGCCTTCCAGTCAGAGAATGTTGCCTTTTTCCCCCACTTTTTGCTTATTTTTGTATTCTCAACAGAATGCATGCAAATTAATCAACTGTCTCATTTATCTTGTTTTGACAGTTCTGGCATGGTTTTTTTTGCAAAGCAAGGCATAGAAACTGTCATATTTGGAGCTTAACTCTGAAGTACAAACTTTTTGTAAAAACCTTTAGGGACTTGCCTCTGTCTGGAGAACACTGAAGGTTTTCACATCTTTGGATGCCATTTGAAAAGATTTGGCACACTGTATATGCTCTTCAAAAGACTTTTCCCTTGGTTGAAGAGTTATGTACGGGGAAACGGTCAGTGCAGGCTAACACTTCTGTCTTCTACACCAATGTTAACAGTCATATTCTGCCAGAATGGATATCCTTAAATATTGTATTCCATATTGGAATACAATATGGACTAGATCATTTCCACCCTCAGTGATCTCCTCTCTCCGACAAATGCTTGTTTTAAGACTTAAATCTGTGTAGAAGTGCAGTGCAGATCCCTCTGCCAAGCGAACAGGGCCTGCACTTTACTACAAACAGACCCGTGTGCATGAAAAACTGGAAAGTAAATTCCCAAGACTTTTCTAAACCTTCGTCAGATGTGTCATTAATAAACAGGGCTCATTGTACCAGACTTGAGAGCCACACGGCAATTATTTTATTCAGGAATCATATGTGGTCTAAAGTAAGGTCTCAACATTCATGAGGGTTTGCAAATAACCAAAATCTCATATAAACAAGTCCACCCCTTACTGTGCATACTCTACTACAGTATAAAGTATGCGTGGTTAAAAGATACAAGTAACCATCCCTTGGTATGATAATTAAAGTTTTAATGGATTCGTTTTAAATAAAATTACATTGATATACTAATAAAATGAACAGTAATCATGAACTTATAGTAATAATAAACAACATGAATCCCTCCTCTTTGTCCAGCTAATGCCTGCACTTTCTCTGCCTCTATAATTGGTACGTCCCACTGTAATGAAAAGGCAATAAAACTGACAGGGAGCCTGTAAAGTTGTCTCTAGCCTGTCATTACTCACTCTGCTGACACAGATCCTGGAGCGTTCATTACAATATAAGAACAAGACCATGTCAAGATGTGGGTACTGGGTAGTGGGTACTCGGGCAGGGGGCAGGGAGCACCTCACTCACTACTGTAGCTAGATTCGTCTCACGATCCTAGTCTCTTGTGCGGCTAAATTGAATATTGCGCTTAACGTTTGGCTTGTTTTCATTCGGCTCTGCCCTTCTTCCATGGACTTTTGGCTGTGATTTCCACAGCCACACTACACACGAAAAGTCTTGATCGTCCAATGATTATGAGTAGGAAAGCACGAGTAAACAAATTTCTAATTAAGTCTAATTAAGGAGAGTCATTCCCTGGACTCCCAATTTCTTAGGATTACCTGGATCTACAACATGAAATACTTTGTGTGATTGGGAGAAACTTACAGGAAGTGCCATTTACATGGTATGGAAGTCATGTGCTGATGCAGAGTAACTTTAGTCAACTACAAGCTGTGGAATTCTGGACTTACTGTAGCCTATTGAGCACCTTAACAGCTGTCTTCTTACAATCAGGATGAAGAGATCTTGATGAAATAAAGGCAATCTATCAAAAGATTTCTGTGTCAGAAAAGCAGGGCAAGGGGATTTACCAAACAATGTTACAGATGGTAGAACGATACCCTTGTGATTTTCCTAACAAGCACTTCAAATGATAACACAATGTAAAATTAAGGCCAGGGTTTTTTCCGTTTGTCCTGATCCTCCTCGAACTCAAGTCAGATAGTTTAGAGCCAACATGATAATGAAAGTGAATGTTGGATGGAAATTTTGCATGGGGTGGAATAGCTGATATTACTGGGGTGTGCTGGTGATTGCCATGTGTGAACTGTGCACAGTGAAATTCATGTTACACATTGATTGATACATCCAGACAATTCTTATGTTGTAAGACACCTACCTGAAGGACCTTTAGAAAGATTGGAACAGTATGTCCTAAACTTCACTTCACTGTTATTAACAGCCACAAGAACCAGGTCAATAAATGCTTGCATGAAGCACAGACTTTTATGCATCGTTCTCTACAGATATCATCAACATTTAACTTTTGTTTTAATATATTAGCTTAATTTGATTTCTAGTGCTAAAACTATATAAAGTAACCGATAAAGTGCTCACATTTTAAATAGCAGTTGTTTTAACTAAATGAAGGATTGTTTTAGCAGTTACCGTGAGTAAGTTAATATTCAGGCACATGGAGAAACAACATGCTGTTTGTTGAGTAAATAAAACTGCAAGTTGTTGAGTTCTTTAGATTTTATTGAAAGAACGGAAGATCATAAAAGAAAAAATCAATAACGTTTCCTCATGTTACTTGTCAAGATGTCAGACAATATTAAGTGCAGGTGGCTTAACGCTAACAACACAGAAGAGTCTGCATTTCGTGTTGTTTCTGATATCCTGTAGGACAAGTGGATGACATGGAAAAGAGTATTAGTATTGATGGAAAGGTCTGTTGTGTTGTGTTACATGGATTAAGGCTGTGCCTGGTATAGCCTTACCTTTATTTATATGAAAGAAACAATCTCACAGAACCTCCCATAAATATATTGAAGAATTACATTGTTACTAAAAGTTGTTTTGTTTTTACACAAATGCATTTTTGTGTCTGTCTGTATGTATGTATAGATGCTTATATTGCTACAATGTGTTACATGAACCTTTACAGTATCTTACTGATTTTGATCAGCAAATAGGTTTGTCTTTTCCACTATTGACCTTAACCTGTTATTACTAAATTTTCCGCTTCTGTCTATTGTATACAACAGTCTTTTTACATTGATTCAATCTGACAGTAAAAATAAACATTGACCTTTAACTTAGACGCAAAAGGTAAACAGTGCTTCAGTGACATTTGTGTATGTGCAATTTATCATACACCAATGTGAAATGTACCCGATTGTCTATTCTTTCACCTCTGAACAATTTTCTAAATATCGAAAGAACCTTGAAATGTAATTTTGGTTAGCTGATGGCACGCAACACAAAAATTATTCTATACAAGTGTACAAGTGTGCTGCGCATTGCCAAATTGGGAACGTTTCTGAACGTCTTTGTCTTACTATGCATTCTTGTCCAGAGCAAAGAGGTAGGCAGGAAAGATTCATGATGACTCCTCCCACCCAAGTTTCCACCTGTTTCATAAACGTCCCTCAGGAAGACGCTACCTTCTGTTAAAACCAGAACCACCCAATACTTGAACAGCTTCTTTCCCTGGGTTATCTTTTTGCTTAACCATCATTCCAAATTCTGTGTGCACT